CCTGCAGCTCTAGGAAGACATAATCTATCCCACGCAATCAGAGCTTTTTTGTTGAGTTCACTTCCACCTATCCATAGAAAGCTTCTACAAGTTTATTTTACCAGTTACGCAACCTTTTTGGGAAGAACAAATACTTGTCACCAGTATATTTGAATGGAGAAGAGCACATATTTCACAAGCTGGAGCCTGTCTACATATGATAGATATCTAGTGGTCCACGATTTAATCCTAGCCAATATTTTATCTAGAAGAGGTTTGTATTGCACAATAGGTAGCCTTTTTGTACTTAGGGATTCTGAAGTATCTAAAACGCATCTCTCCTTTGTTAAAATGAATAGCATGCAAAATATTCTGTTGGACTCCTCCAAAATACACCGAGCTTTTCTTTACATTAGCAACTAGACCAGACATCTGTGAGAAATGTTGAAAGTGTTGAATCAACAATTTGACAGACTTTAGCTCTCCTTTGTATAATAGTAGTAAGTCATCTGCAAACCCAAGCTGTAGAATTTGCAGTTTCTTACACCTTGGATGAAATTTGAAGTTTTTTTTCTTCATAGAGCCCCTTTAAACTTCTGCTGAAATACTCCATGGGAAAGACAAATAAAAATGGGGAGAGAGGATCCCCTTGTCTCAACCCTTTTCTAGCAGGATTGAGTATGAAACAGTTGTAATGCAGCACATGATCCATTTGACAAACTTTGCTGGAAACTGGAGGCAATTTAGGATTTGCTCAATATATGGCCATTCCACTGAATCATAGGCTTTTCTCATGTCTATTTTTAACATACATCTAGGAGTGATACCTTTTCTTCCATACCCCTTCACCAGTTCATGGCTCAATATAATATTATCAGTGATTAACCTTCCTGGGACAAAAGCAGATTGACTTTTATCCACAAGACTGTCCATAACACCCTACATATGATTAGTAAAAATTTTAAAGATCCGTTTATACAACATAGTGCAACAAGCTATATGTCTAAATTCAGATATCTTTGTTGGGTTCTTGATTTTTGGAATCAATATTATTGTTGTGCAATTTATAGCTTTGTATATATCCTCGTCTGTGAAGAACTGAAGCACATCAGCTGTAACATCTCTACCAATCACATTCCAAGCTTTTTTGAAGAAGATTTCATTGAACACATCACAACCAGGAGCTTTGTGTTCATCTATGCTCATAAGGGCTTGATATACTTCATCATGAGTTACCTATGTTATCAATTACAGTTGGTACTGTCTAATAAGTACATTCCTGCACTTCATGATCTCAGAATTTACTGCTGGTAGTTGATCAGTAGCACTGCCTAGGAGCTCTTTATAAAAACTGGCCACCTCCTCTACTATGTCTTCTGGCTGCTGAAGGATATCACCATTGGTATTAATTAGGCTTCTGATCCTGTTTTGAGCCTGCTTATTCTTCAAACTAGCAAAAAATAGGCAGTATTATCATCTCCTAGTTCCAACCATTTGTTTCTTGATTTCTGTTTAAGAATACTTTCCTCCACTAGGCTCCATTTCTCTAATTCAAACTTCACTTCCTTTTCTTCCACAAACAACATATTTGGTTGAGTGTCGCTTCCTATTTGTGTTTGAATATCTTGCAACTTCCGTCGATAGAACTCAATCTTCTCCCCTACATTTCTGAAATCTGTTTGGTTTAGTTGTTTCAAATCTTTCTTCAATGCTTTTAGTTTCCACCATATGATTCTTTCCAATTGGTCTACCCCAAATATTTGCCACCACATTTAGAAATTCTTTGTGCTTCGCTAGAAAATTAAGGAATCTGAAAGGCTTTGGACTCCTCTTTACAACATCCTTGAGCTGAACACTTGGGAGAGGGGGGGGGGGGGGGGTATGATCTGAAATCCCAGGGTTTAAAATCACCACCTCTGTAATAGTTACTGTAAGTTACCATTCAGTATTTACTAGAGCTCAGTCTATCCTGCTACAAATTTGCCCTTTTGACCATGTGAATCTTCTGCCCATTGTATGTAGTTCAGTCATGCCACTAGCTTGCAAAAAATCATTGAAGTCCTTGATCTCATTCTCCTGAACTGGATTACCAAACTGTCTATCATCTATGTCAATTATAGCATTAAAATCTCCAATAGCTAGCCATGGTCCTTGAACAGAATTATTGACACTTTTCAATTCCTCCCATAGATCCTTCCTTGTCACAATAGTATGTATTTCATAAACTGCTGTCAAATTGAATTTTAGTTGCAACTGTGAGATACTAATTATACCATGGATGGCCTGAGCACTCATGCTTGTTGCTTCAAATTCCACTCTGTTAGGATCCCAAATAATCCATATTCTCCCTTTAGAGTTGTGAGAGTAGTTTGCACACCATCTCTAATAATCTTATTTATCACTCTACTAGAATTCTTCTGCTTTACTCTATTCTCCAGTATAGCTATCATTCCTACATCATTATCTATAATGAATTTCTTTACTTCTTTTTGCTTATATACTTTATTTACACCCCTCACATTCCAAGATATAATTCTCATTTATTTGGTTTCTTTGGTTTTGGGTCCCCTGTATCACCCTGGTAGCTACATTGGCCTTTTTTCATTGTTATATAAATTATCTCGTAGCTGAGTGGGCTAAAACCATTCACAACATTAATGCCAGGATCTCCTTTTATGTTAGATTGTCCACTTTTTGCTGCAGATTTCCTCTTAGCTAGCTCCTATTCTGTTGTTTTCTCAGCCACATCAACTGTCCTTGTAGTCCGTATCATACTCTTAGTTTGTTCATTTACACCTTCTTCCACCTTGTCTGGTTCTGTTCTTCTTCTCTATTCCATCCTTGGTTTTAATTGCTTCTGTTTGCCCTCAGGTACTGTCTGTGTTGTTCTGCAACTATGGCCAACTTGAAGACAAGTGTGGCAATATTAAGGTATCCAATCATAAGCAACCTGTTGCTCCAAGACTTTGCCCATCGGATCCATAACTTTTATGACTCTAGGAATGTCCTTTGTGACATCCATTTCTACTAGTAGCCTTGCATAAGAAATCCTCTCAATTTTAGATGTGCATTCATCTGCATATAGTGGGATTCCTAAGCCACTCCCAATCCAACTGAGTGAATCCACACTACAGCAGTTTAGTGGCAAATTAGGCAGCTTAACCCATATAGGAATTGTCTGCAGTACTTCCTTATCAAAATCAAAATTAGGCGACCATGCTTTGACAATAATAGGTTTCTTATAGTATGTGGCCCTGACATCAACAAAACATCCCTGTCTTCCACACTATTGAATTTCACCACAAAATATCCATCATTATGGAAGTAAATTTTTGGTTTACTGACAAATTTTCACTGCACAGTAATGAATCGATCCAAAACACCTATTTAAGGGGAATCTCCAACAAAATACAATACAATTGCATGTTTCCACTTCATTGTTTCACGACCGACCTCATCATTATCCAGTTCAACTATTTTTTCTCCATGTTTGACCATTGGAGCAATAAATTTGAGGTTCATACCTCTAGCTGCTAAATTGCTCCCAGCGAACAGATTCACCCATTCCTTTTTGTTTTTCTGCTGCTCCTCATCCAGTTTTTTTTATGAATCTGAACTTCCTGCTCCGTAATTGGCTTCATTGCTTCCATATATTATGTCTCCTTCCTTTGAATCTCCTTTTCAACCTCAATTCTCTCTGCATTTGGACTCTTCGCTGATGCCTTCAGAGTTTGGCTATGTTCGCCTTTGTCAATTGAAGGTGATCTAGCTGAAATCGCTTCATGCAAAGGCGGCCATATCACTTTTGAGCTCTGCAACTGTTCCATTGAGCTCTGCAAGTTTTGCATGCCCTCAATTCCCCTCGATTGTTCCTTTCCATCAACTTTTGTCAAACTTGTTGGTTCCTTGCTTAAATTTGTGATCTGAATTACTCTCTTTGGTCTCCCTCTACCATTGCCGGCAGAGGTGGCGCACGTTAGTTCACCGTCAATGCGCGTCAATCCTTGATGGTTTAGAGAGAGAAAGTTAGAGAGAAGTTAGAGAAGATCAATCCTTACTACTGTTAGTAACCACGACTGTTAATATGAGATAGAGGGAGTAGTTATCGCTACCTAGAAAAGAAATTTCGCTGCCATTAGAGCTAGCAGTTATTTTCCTCTTTTGGTGAAAAAATAATAATTCGAAAACTGTTTATGATAATCAAACATTTTAAAAGCATTATCGCGCAAAATATTTCCATAATACTCAAAACACCTCTAATTTCACTACACTTTCCAAGAACCATTAAATCACAGGAGAAAACTGAAACATCTATGTACCTAACATCTAGTAAGAGTCCTGTTTCTTTAATCTTTTACTTGCACACAATCTCCAAGAAAGTTCAACATCTTGATTAGGTAGCTATCAAGGACCCTAACCATACATGAAAATCACACTATATATCCTAAAAAAAAAAGTAAATTAAATGAAAGATTTTTGTTTATACCCAGCCCGTGATTTGCTATTCACTATTTGCTACTCTTTTATTATTTCTTATAATGGTTTAACTTGTGTACATATCAGGATTAAGTTGATTTACAATATGTAACTCTTTTTATCAAACCTACTATGGTGATATGAAAATAAAATACTCCCTCAATCCATAATAAGTGACTTTTTATTCTTTGTCACACTTGTTAAGAAGATACTAATTTCTAGAGAAAAAAAGGTATTTTAACTACATTACCCTTAATTAAAATTTATATATTGTTAATTTGACATATTGAGATATATAAATAAGGGCAAATTTTTAAAAAATAAAGTTAATTTCTTCTGAATTATGTAAAATGACACCTAATTTGGACCAAAATGAAAAGACAAAAGAAATACTTATTATGGACCTGGGGAGTAATAAATAAACCCTCACTACCCAAGTAAATTGATACTTGAGCGTATATAACTTAAATCAAATCCATATTCTCTCTTCATTTCATTTCATTTTAAATACCTCAGCGGGCCAAGGATAGCCAACCATATTGCCCCCCTCCCTCCTCCACCATAGATAGAGAATCTCACAACAAATGACATGTACAGTTGATTACTTCATCTAATCTAATGGTAGAAAACGGAAGAAACAAACAACAAAATATCCACTAAATGAAGTAAAGCCACTAAGCTTTACTCTCTGTGTGTTTGTGCATGTGTCCATTCTCCTATTAGGCCTTCAAGTGCACTATCTTTTTCTCTCTCTACTGTATGTTTTAACTTCAAAAGTCTAGCCTAGCTACTCACTTTTCTCAGAATATGACTCCTGAAGACTCATTAAGAACTCTCTCTTTAGATTATCTCAATCTTCTCATCAACGGTCAAGCTTTTAGTGATGTTACTTTCAGTGTTGAAGGTCGTTTAGTTCATGCTCATAGATGCATCTTAGCTGCTAGGAGTCTTTTCTTCAGGAAATTCTTTTGTGGGCCAGAGTCGCCTGTTGGCAGCTGCGGCCCAAGGATAAGCCCCTTTAGTGGCGGGCTTGTCCCGTCGCCGAGGGGCACGAGTGGTTCACAGGTGATACCTGTGAACACAGTAGGGTATGAAGTTTTCTTGTTGATGCTTCAATTTTTGTACAGTGGACAAGTTTCAATTGTTCCACAAAAACATGAACCAAGGCCTAATTGTGGGGAGAGAAGTTGTTGGCATACACATTGCACCTCAGCCGTTGATCTTGCCCTTGATACTCTTGCAGCCGCTAGATCTTTTGGTGTTGAACAGCTCGCTTTGCTCACTCAGGTTTGTGTTTTTCCTTTCCTTTTATTTCTTTCTAGCATGTTATCTTCTTTGAGGTGTTTTTTCCTTTTTTGTTGTTAAGGGATCTTTGGCCAATTTTTGCATTTTCATATTTTTCATCGAAGCTTGTAAATTCAGAGAAAATCTAGTACTTCTTTCTTTCCTTTTTCCTAGCTAGGTTTCTTTTTGCAGAATCACCAGATCCAAGTTTTTCAGAGTTTATATTTGCGGCTTATACACAGCTTAAGGAAATAGTACCAAATGCAACCTTTCTTTCCTCTTTCATCCTAATTTACCAAAAGTTCGTAAATATTTTTTGGTGGAATCTTGATCGTGAATGTCTCGTCTCATGGGTGTTTTTCTTGATTCCATGTATAAGATTTTTCAATTATTTTGGATTGTCCAATTATCTTTGTGCTCCAAACTCGAAGGTTTCCAAATTTGGTTTCTTGATTTCACCGGTCTTGTCTTTCCACTGTGATGATATCAAATCTTTCCAAAATAGTGATCTACTTTCCTCTTTTGGTTTCAAACAGCAACAACGAAAGACCGGTGGAATTATTAATGCTAAATGAATACCTACCCTACGTAATCACAAATTTGCACAAACACATTGGACACATAAATTTTCCAAGATATGCAAAACTCCACATTTGTAAATCCATTAGAATTACAACTTTACTTCTTCTTTCTTTTTTTGACATTTGTTTTATTAGCAGAAGCAATTAGCAAGCATGGTGGAGAAGGCTTCAATTGAAGATGTGATGAAAGTTTTAATAGCTTCAAGAAAGCAAGACATGCACCAACTTTGGACTACTTGTTCTCATTTAGTTGCAAAATCAGGCCTCCCACCAGAAATCTTAGCCAGACACATCCCCATTGATGTTGTAGCCAAAATTGAAGATCTCCGTCTCAAATCCTCCATATCACGAACAAGATCATTAATCCCTCATCACCACCACCTCCATCACCACCACGAAATTCCCTCAACCATTGAGCTCGAGGACCAAAAAATTCGACGAATGAGACGAGCCCTTGACTCATCCGACGTTGAACTTGTCAAGCTTATGGTAATGGGAGAAGGTCTAAATCTTGATGAATCTCTCGCATTGCATTATGCTGTGGAGAATTGCAGCCGGGAAGTAGTGAAAGCGCTACTCGAGCTCGGTGCAGCTGATGTGAACTATCAAGCCGGCCCCAACGGCAAAAGCCCGCTTCACTTAGCAGCTGAAATGGTGTCACCTGACATGGTGGCGGTTCTATTGGACCATCATGCTGACCCGAACATTCAAACGATGGATCGGATCACTCCACTCGATATTCTCAGAACCCTAACGTCTGATTTTCTATTTAAGGGTGCTATCCCCGGACTCACTCACATTGAACCGAATAAGTTAAGACTTTGCCTAGAACTTGTTCAATCAGCAGCAATGGTATTTTCTCGAGAGGAAGGAGAAGCGAATAACAATCCGTCTTCGGATACTATATATCCACATGTTCGTGAAGATCATAGTTCTACTACAAGCAGTGGGAACAACAATTTGGGAAACTTAAACGTGGATTCAAGAATGGTGTATTTAAATCTTGGTGCAGCACCTCATCATCAACATGATTGCAGCAGCAGCCACAATAACCAGAATCCAGCATCAATGTACCATCACCACCACCATTCTCATGAGTATTAGTTAATTTAATTAACCTTTCTGTTAGTTTCAATTATATCCACTAGAAATTAAATACTCCCATCTTTTTGCTTCTACCCTTTTGATCTCTTCTTCTTCATAGAGATAAAATGTCTATAATTTCATGGATTTGAGAAACATAAAGCAAAAGGCTGATGATTAAGAAATTACTCTCATGGGAATTACTATATTAATCATTTTGAGTTGCAAATTTGATATATATTACTAATTAACCCCATTTCCATCTTCATCTCTTCTTCTTTCACTTTCTTTTTCTTTCTACTAGTACTTTATGTTGGTTTCTGGCAGGGAAAGCTTGAAAGTAAGTTATGTTATTCACGGACTCCAATAGTTTTGGTTCAAATTCTTATTTGTATTAACAAAATCAAAATAAAATTACAAAAATTGAATTTAGAACCCAATTAGTAACATTTAGTATCACTATCCTNTTCTGGCAGGGAAAGCTTGAAGGTAACTTATGGCTTCGGTGGAATCCAGTAGTTGTATTTGTATTAAGAAATTCAAAAGAAAAGTACACAATAATTAATTTTAGAACCCAATTAGTAACATCTAATATCACTATCCTAATATTTAAAATCAATAACGTTTAAATCTTGGTTTCTGGTAGGTCTTTTTTGTTTTGTTTTTGGGAGTGTTTTCTAGGGCTTTCAGAATGATAATGCAGTATGCATTTAGCTTTGGATTTGGAGAATTTATTCATCACTCTCATGGGGGATATATGATGGGACAAGAATATGATATTCCAAGTTTCTTATGGAGAGAAGGGACGCAGATCAATCTTTTCAACCTTGGCCTGTCAGCTCCTATCGTTGCCTTTTCTTTTTTCTTCTTTTAAAATGATATAATACTAGTACTCTGTTTCATTTTATTTGTATTTATTTTCTTTTCTGTTCGTGCCAAAAAAATGATCACTTTTTATATTTGGAAACAATTTACGTTTATGCATTATATAGCCACACAAAATATATGTGTCTCATTTTACACCACAATTTCAAAAGTCTTCTTTTTCTTTTAAACTTCCTGCCCAGTCAAATATATTGATTCACATAAATTAAAATGGAGGGAGCATTAAGTATCTGATGTCATATATAATTTACTGCAACAAATAATTTTCTTGTGTTATCCTCATTCCACCACCCAACTTCCCTCTTCAATTCTGTTCATACAGAAAATATTTATTGAGTACTATATACACATTATTCAATTACATATTAACTACTAGTATTATTTTTGATTGTTTAATTTATATAGTAGTACTACTTCTTATTTGCATATTTCATGTGCATGAACATCTTATAGAGTGGATGTCTTTCGTTTCTTGTGATGGTGGGGTTACATGTTTCTTACCATTTTTGGCCTTTTTACTCTAATGAGGAGAATGAGCTGGACCTTTGTTATTCTTTTTTATTTTTCGGTTATGTAGGAGAGATTTGATAGACTTAGTGATAATCTTCTTTTATAGAATTGTATTATGAAGATATAGTTTCACTTTAGAAAATGTGGTTGGTTGTCTAATGTCTTGCATGAATGCAACAGTGAGTGTGACTTCACAACGCAATGGTTACTACCGTCCAATTAAAAATTAAAATTCTTGATTTATCAATATATCTTCTGTTTTGTCTTGCTCCCCTTTCTACGTACAAAAAAAGAAGAAGATAAGAGTAAATTAATAAAAAGGAAACGAAATTCTTCGAAGTGAAACCCTAGCTGGCTTGATTAGGATAATTAAGTAGGTTTCACCAGCGTTGGAACTATCTTGAGTATTGTAAGTGTGGTCACATTTTTAATTAGGGTTTGAAAATGACGATCTTTACTTGAAACTTTGGAGAATTAGTTTGAAACATTGTTGCAATGCTACTAAATTGAATTTTTTTGGCTTGTGATAATCTTTGTCTATACTTTGTTTGTCTCTGAAAACAGGAAAAAAGTTAGTAACAGTCAAGAATTTGATTTGCCTTGATTAGTGGCAAGTCCTAGTAACTATTTAACCGTAGTTACTTCTTTTTTCCCCAGTTTTGGAGCTTCTTGTTCAATGACAGATTATATACATATTTCTAAATTAGGAAACAGATATGGGTTCTAAGAACTTTATCAGCTTAGTATGAGTAATGTATAAAATTAAATTCAGCAAATACCCTAGTTCTTTTTTTGCATCCTATTGTGTTATCTATGACTATTAGTGCATATCAAATGAATTTGGAGGAATACATTGGTGTTTTCCATGGAAAATAAGCTTTACCTAATACAAAGCTAGAGTATAAATTTCATGTTAAACTCCCATCTCTATTTTAGCCTAGGTGGATAGAGTTAACCGATTGACATATATGTTGATGCAAGGTACCACATAAAATTAGTCAAATACGCGCAAACTGGTTCGAACAACATGGTTATAGAAAAATTCATGTTGAACAGCAATTTTCTACTTATTCTAGTTGAGTTGCTTACAGCGCAGATTTACATAACTGGAATCCAGAGTGAATATATCAACATCCAACAAGAAGAGCTTAGGAGGTTAGATAAATGGAAGCTGGAAAATCTTTAATTTCTTAAGCATTAATTTTGCTGCGTAATTAATGTATATATAAGGGTTTTGCCATAAGGCAAGTTGAAGGTGTAAAGTTATACCAAACTCGCTATCAATGTCTCAACTTGTTATATTTAAAAGTAAATCTCAAGTGGTGAACAATGATGTTCGTTAAACAAGATTTGTCGGCAGAAAAAGTTACACGTACTGCAGCTTTCCTCTAGATAACAAGCTTCCTTCTTTTTAACTTCTCTCTTTCACACAATTTAGGATGTTTCGTTCAGTGAGGGAAGCTCGGAATAGAGCCGTATGAGGTGAAAGTCTCACGTACGCTTCTCTGAGAAGGGAGTTTGGTTACCTACTGGAGCTTCGATCTTATGTCTTCTAAACTTTCGAAAAATTTCTTCAAAATCTTATTTCTCATCGTCATAGACCTACAACTTATGAGTGATTTCAATCAGTAAATAAAATTCTATGTATATATGTTGGAGTGATTCAATAAGTAAAATTTCACTTATCATCGTCATAGTTATGTTGTGTATTTCCCAAGATTTTCTCGTTTTTTCTCTCCAACCATGTTGCCCAGTGCATCCAATGTAATATTGGTATATTCAATTATGTTAAGATTATAAGATATAGCAATATTATTGTTTCAGAGGAAAAGCAGACTGATCTCTATGCATAAACTACATGATGGACAGTGGACACAATACTTTCTCAAGAAAACTTGTCGGAATAAAAAAGATATCGTTCTTTTTGAGATTGATTAAAATAAGAAGAACATCATATAAATTGGAATAATTAAATAAATATGGATAGAAGGAAAGGTATATTTCTTTTTCTTTTTAACAACCAATTGCAAGCCTAGTGATCATTCATATGTTATTGAGAACATTCGAGGCCAAATTTAAGTGATACTTAATTAAGTATAATAGGAGCAAAATCGTGTTGTTGTTTTCTCTTGTTCTTCTGCTGCTACTGCCATCACCATCCTTACACTTTTCGGCTAAAGTTGTACAGAAGAGTTTAACAAAAGCAAAAGCTTTGCCGGGATATTTTGGAATTCTTTTTTCTTATGTAAAAGTAATTGTGGGGTTGATATTAATGGATTCAGATTATTTAAGATATGGTTACTAGTTACTAGTAGTAAATTAGAATAGGTTCTCAAAAGTAGCCCTTTTTAGTTTTCTTTTCCTTTTTCTTTTGGGATTTGTCCTCATAAATCATGACATACGTAGTGGGCGACATGTTTGAAATGACGGGACAATGAAAATTAAAGTTTCTCAATCTATCATTGGTTCTTTTTCATCTGATATTGTTTCCAATTCTTATTAAGGAAATTTGATAAGATTTCTTTGGTGATCAATTTTTATTATATTGGTGGAGGTAGTAATTTCATCAAGAGCATTCAAACATCTATTCTCTCTTTGTATATACAGGAAAAAAATTGACCTTATATATATAATACAATTTTAAGACGAAGGACGTCCAAATAAACCCCTTCTACCCTCTAGCTCCGTCCATAATAGTACGTAACCCTTTTAATTCTCTCCGCCAAAATGCTCATTGTCTTGATTGATGAGCTGAAAAGGGAATGCTCAAAAGAAATGGGAAGTATATATAAGATGTTGCGACTTGGGAGTACACCTTAGACAAAACTATTATCATAATTTAGTTATACCAGCGTCTTGATTTTGTCAGTCAAACTAAACTTCTAATATAAGTTCTTTGACTATTTTGTTTAATTAAAGAGATCTTGGTAGTGTTAAAGTTGACTTTAAATCTATTATTTGCAAATACTTGTATATTATCCTGTTCCATAATGCATCTTAAATTGCTGTCGAAATTGAATTTGTAATCACCAAATATTGACTCATTTATAAGTCTCTTGTAAATTTAGGTTTAATCACGTCATTTTCCTCGCATATCCGGACAAGCTTCTTTTTCCTTCTTCTTTTTTATTACTTTTTCTGTTTACTTGTTTGACTGTATACGGAGTTTAAGGAAAAATAAAGATTTTTGGAATTTTTGGTCCTAATTAAACAAGTCAAAAAGGGGCCAACAGTATTTGTGTAGTTATAAAAGCTTCTCATTAAGGGAAAAATTGTAAGTTTAAGCTAAATTATTTTCAAATTTAGAAAGGGTTCATTCTTTTTGGCACGGACCAAAAAGAAAATAAGTTCACATGAACTGAAACGGAGAGAAACGGAGAGAGTATTATTTTTATAAAATAAACGTGTTGCATGTCATTCACATTACCATCTTTTCCCACACGAGTTTTAATTTCTTGAGCTTCGCAGCTTTTACGTAAATTGTCAATATGAGTAGGTGAGATATGGATTAAGGCCTGTACATCGAATTATAAAAGTGAAGAGAGAAGTCTAAATTATACTCCCTCCGTTTCAATTTATGTGAAACCATTTGACTGGGCACAGAGTTTAAGAAAAGAGAGAAGACTTTTGATCTTATGGTGTAAAATGAGGCTCACATATTTTGTGTGGCTATAAATCATTCTGTAAAGGTAAATTGTTTCTAAATAAGGAAAGAGGTCATTCTTTTTGGCACGGACTAAAAAGGAAATAGGTTCACATAAATTAAAACGGAGGGAGTAGAAATTACATTGATTTGTACGGATCCACACCCCTTTAGAGGAGGGGTGGCATGACACCCGCTAAGATGATACAATTTTTATATACCTATATTTAAATTTTCTTAAACTAGGTTAAATATCTTATCTTGCCACCCGCAGCCGTAAACTAGACAAAGATACCATGACTGATAGATTTTTTGAAAGCTTTTCTCATGTGTAAAATTCAAGTTGATATTTATCTTGAACTTTGTCTGACTTTCCCTTTTCATTGTGCTTTTTATTTCCTTTTGTCCCAATGGTTTTTTTTTTCCGGTTACCCCCAATTTTTTATTTGTTGTTTTATTTTTTTCTTTTCTCTATCTATTATTTTATATGTGGTCACTAGCAAGAACACTCAAAAAAGAGGCTCCAAAACTTTAAAATTATATAAAATAAGGATTCTGCTTAATCTTTAATTTATGAGTTTTATTCTTTCAAATTCGAACAACTTGTGTCTTAACGGAAAATTTGAATTGAGATTGAAAAAAAACTCATCTTTTTTTATTATATCATAAAAATTGGTGTTATTCTATGGTTATTAAATATAATTTAAATCTCTTTACTAAGTATTAAATTATGATGAATTTTCATAAACTGCTTAAAAAATATGAGATTTACGATATTGATTTTTGAGAATTAGTAGTTAATTTAATTTTATATTTATAAGGTATAATTTATCTAGTGAAGATATTTTTTTAATGTTTCTTATTCTGATTAATGTAATTCCCTTATTGGTGATGTTATCTTAGTAAATTTATTTTTAATATATAGAAAAAGATATAATTTCCTAGTAAAAATGTTAATTTTGTTTGTGTTGTTATAATAACAGTATAATTCCTTATTTAAAATGTTAATTACGCCTTTTTTTTCTATCCGAGATGTAATTTTTATATTTACAATTAAAAAATACCTTTTGGTTGACCCAAATTAAATAAAAAAAAAACCGAGTAAATTTTCCTAACAAAGTATACATTAAAGAAAAGTATAGCACCCGCCATCTTTAAATCCTAAATCCGCCTCTGTTTATACCAGAAGGAAATGTATGTGAAAAATAGAAATATGTGATCATTTATGAAAGAATGAATTTGGTTGTCAACTGATTGAACAACCGGAAGCAATTTACTTATCTATATACTATATTAAAAGCACGAAAGCTCTTAGCAAAATATCGATTGCTTTTTTTACCCTTTAAAAGTTAATTTTATATTGAACAAAATAGTCATTTAAATTATTTTCCTAATATTTAGAACTTGAAAATCAACTATATTTTGTGTATTAAGTCATTCCTTATTTGAACTAAGTATTATGTCCTAATATTTAGGAGTTCAAAATTAAATCAACTATGCTTTTAACTTAAATAAATTATTAAAAAAGAAAGAATAAAACAACAACATACTTTTACCATGTTTTTCTCCCCTGTTCTTTATTTAACAGGAGATACACTACCTATTATAGTTTTAATTCTATATTACTAATAAAATACAACTACCAATGAATTAATGTACGTTTACCTAGAATAAAATACAACTACCAAGTCTGTTGTTCGGCCCCTTTCCCCATTGTTTTTTTCTCTTCTTTTCTCTTCTTTTTCTCATCTTTGCTGTTGTTAGGGCTTCAAATCACCAGTGGTAGCGGTGATAGCCCTCCTCCCCTTGCTGTGTTTGGTTCCGTGATGTTCTGTGTCTTTCTGGTAATATTCGGTGGCTATTGGAGACGAGCAGGACGTGCACGCGCAAACACAGCAGAGCAGCCAGGGCGAGCGTCAACAAGGGCCCTTGGGAAGTTGGACGTGAACGTGTCAGGTGCCGCAACGACATCGTGTACATCAAGACTCTACTCCAGGTTCTATCATCGAGAGTTGGTACCTCCTATACTCCTTTCTTTCATGTTATTTAAACTGTTTTCGTGTCCGTTTAGACATTTTATCAGTGTGATTATTTTGTTAGCGTGATTAAGGTATTGTAGTTATAGCTTATTTTATTACTTTTTGGCCCTTAATATACCGTATGTTACTGTGGCTATGGGTGAGGATGGTGGATTAGGGACATGTCCTCGGGTAGGTCGGGGAGTGGGGCAGGGGCATAAGGGAGCTATTAGGTTGAGAATTGGATCTTGAAACATATAGACTTTGACAGGGAAGTCTGTACAATTAGCTAAAATTCTCCAGAAGAGAAAGGTCAATATAACTTGTGTTCAAGAGACTAGGTGTGCAGGGTCTAAGGCGCGGGAGGCGGACGGGTTTAAACTGTGGCACTCAGGAGGTAAGATGGGTAGGAATGGAGTGGGCATCTTGGTGGACAAGGTTCTCAGGGAGCTAGTAGTAGAGGTTAGGCGGGTGAATGATAGGTTGACGCCTATTAAATTAGTGGTTGGAGGGTGTACTTTGAATGTTATTAGTGCTTATGCACCCCAAGTGGGTCTGGATGAGGAGATTAAAAGGCGCTTCTGGGAAGGTTTTGGATGAGGTTGTGTGTGGTGTTCCACCCACTGATAGGATATTCATAGGAGGAAATTTTAATGGGCGTATTGGGAGGTCTGCTGGGGGCTATGATGAGGTACAAGGTGGCTTTGGCTTTGGGGTCAGAAACGGAGGAGGTACTTCACTGTTGGATTTCACTAAGGCGTTTGATTTGGTGATAGTAAACTCGTGTTTGCAGAAGAGGGAGACGCACTTTGTTACCCTCAAGAGCGCAATGGCTAAGACCCAAATCGGCTATCTCTTTCTCTGTAGGTGTGATAAAAGTCTGTGCACAGATTGTAAGGTTATCCCAAGTGAGAACCTCATGACCTAGTATAGGCTTTTGGTGATGGACTTAGACATTGTGCTGAGGAGGAAGACGAGGGTTAGGTGTGGTCGACCGAAGATCAAGTGGGGAGCTCTGACTAAGGACAAAGCTTAGGAGTTGCAGGAGAAATTATTGGTTGTAGGGGCTTCGTGGAGTAGTGGGAACACGATCGAGAAGTATGTGGACGAAGATGGCGGACTGCTAGCCTGTTTGGCCAAGCTTCTCAAGAGGCCAAAAGTGCTTTTTTTCCTAGAAGCACTTTTTTTCCTAACTTGAGGTGTTTGGCCAAGCTTATTTGGGGGAAAAAGTGCTTTTGGGAAGAAGCAGAAGCAATTTCAGAGAAGCAGAAAAAGTAGCTTCTTTCCAAAAGCAGAAGCAGAAGCAGTTTTGGCTTTTCTTCTTACCTAAAATACCCTTAACAAAATATAGTATATACCAAAATAACCCTTAAACCTAATACTTAGGATATTAATTTATAAATATTTCTTCTTATTTTTAGGAAAACTTTCTAATATACAATGACTTCAGGGGTGAATGCTTTTATATTTGTTGAAGGAATTTTAATATATTTAACTTATATTAAAAGAATTAAGTACTTTTTAATTTTATTTTCATATTTTACTTAAATAAAATGAATTTTTTAATTATTGCATGTAATAACAAAATTTTGAGACTATTTATTTACTTATAATATTAATTATTAAGTAAATCTATTCATGTCCTTATTCGTAATTTGACACTTAAAAGCACTTTCTAAAAAGCTTGGCCAAACACAAATTATTTCTCAAAAGTGCTTCTCAGACTGATTAGCCAAACACAAACTGCTTCTCTCCAAAAGTACTTTTTTCAAAAAGACTTTTGAAAAAAGCACTTCTCAAAATAAGCTGATTTCTCCAGCTTGGCCAAACAGGCTATGCATCAGGAAGGCTGCGACAGAGGTGTTAGGGGTCTCAAAAGGTTACGCTGGAGGCCATGAAGGAGACTAGTGGTGAAATGAGGGGGTCCAAAGGAAAGTAGAAGCTAAGAAAGCAACATATTTGAAGTTAGTAGAGAGCACAAACACGAGGAGAAGAAGGCCATCAAATAAGGGTATAAGAAGGCTAAGACAGGGGCAAAGCTGGCGGTCATGGAGGCTAAGACTGCAGTGTTTGCTCGTTTGTATGAAGAACCGATGGACAATGAGGGGGCATAAAGTTGTTTCGGCTGGCTAAGGCGAGGGAGAGGAAGGCTCGTGATATGGACCAACTGAGGTACATCAAAGATGAAGACGGTAGAGTTTTAATGGAGGTGGCACAGATCAAGCGAAGGTGGCAGACTTACTTCCATGAACTCCTGAATGAAGAAGGGGATAAGAGCACTGTGCTGGGCGATTTGGAGCACTCCGAGAGTCATTGTGATTTTAGGTACTGTAGGAGCTTTAGTTTTGAGAAGATCGCGGGAGCGGCGCATAAGATGAGTAGGGACAGAGCGACCGGGCCAAATGGGACCCCAGTTAAATTCTGGAGGTATGCGGGCATGGATGGATTGGAGTAGCTAATGGGCTATTTAACACTACTTTTAGGACGAAGAAGATGCCCGAGGAGTAGAGGTGGAGTATGATGATCCCGTTGTACAAGAACAATGGTGATATTAAAAATTATAACAATTATAGGGGTATCAAGTTGCTTAGTCATACTATTAATGTTTGGGAGAGGGTGGTAGAAGCGAGGGTTAGAAGGACAATGTCTATTTCCGAGAACCAGTTCGGTATCATGCCGGCTCGACTACGAAAGCCATCCATCTTGTTAGGAGGTTGGTGAAACAGTACATGGATATGAAGAAAGATTTGCACATGGTGTTTATTGACATAGAGAAAGCATACGATAAGGTCCCTAGGGAGGTCCTTTGGAGATGCTTGGAGGCTAGAGGTGTTCCTGTAGCATATATTAGAGTGATTAAGGACATGTATGATGGAGCTAAAACTTGGGTGAGGACAGTGGGAGGAGACTCGAAATAGTTCCCGGTTGGGATGGGGTTACAACAGGGATCTATGATCAGTCCGTTCTTATTTGCTTTGGAGATGGATCCCCTGACGTCTCATATTCAAGGGGAGGTGCCATGATGAATATTATTCGTTGACGATATAATACTAATCGATGAGCAGCGAGGCGGTGTCAATGAAATGTTGGAGGTTTGGAGATAGACTTTAGAGTCTAAGAGTTTCAAGTTGAGCAGGATGAAGACGGAGTACCTAGAGTACAAGTTTAGCATAGTCACAGGGGAAGCAGATATAGACATGAGGCTTGATTCACAATTCATCTCCAAGAGAGGAAGTTTCAAGTATCTCGGGTCAGTTATCCAAGGGGACGAGGAGATTGATGAGGATGTCACACACCGTATAGGGACGGAGTGGATGAAATGGAGGCTAGCATTCGGCGTCCTGTATGACAAGAATGTACCACCAAAACTTAAAGGTCAGTTCTACAAGGCGGCAGTTAGACCGGCGATGCTGTGTGGGACAGAATGCTTGCCAGTCAAGAACTCCCATCTCTATAAGATGAACATAGCTGAAATGAGGATGTTGCGATGGATGTAAGGGCACACTAGGTTGGATAAGATTATGAATGCAGATATTTGAGAGAAATTAGGCGTGGACCCTATGGAGGATAAGATGCGTGAAGCGAGACTTAGATGGTTCAGACATGTGAGAAGGATAAGCCTAGACGCCCGAGTGAGGAGGTGTGAACGACTAACGCCGGCAGGTAGAAGAGGTAGAGGACGACCTAAGAAGTATTGGGGAGAGGTGATCAGGCAGGATATGACGCGGCTTCATCTTATCTGGGATATGGCCCTTGACATACGGTTATGGAGATCGAAGATTAAAGTAGAAGGGTAATAGGTCGTTGTATGTTTTCTGATCTGTTCCAGGTTTATTAGGGCTAGCTGACTAGTATATTGTCTTCGATTCTTAGTATGCCAACATTAGGGTTGTTTTAGTACTATCTTACGTTTCAATTTTCTAGTACCCTGTTGTGTTACTGCTTGTTGCTATTGCTACTACTTTCTTCCATTTATTTCTCTCCGGTTCTTACATTGTTGTTATTATTTTTCTGGTCTTGTTGTTGTTATTTACTTGTTCCTATTCTTCTTCTCGAGCCGAGGGTATTAGGAAACAGACTCTCTGCCCTCCAAGGTAAGGGTAAGGTCTGCGTATACATTATCCTCCCTAAACCCCACTTGTGAGATCCCACTTGATTGTTGTTATTGTTGTTGTTGTTGTTGTAATCCTCACGACATTTTATCTCATCAAGTTTGATTTTTACAAATAAAAAAAGTATGTAGTCTCTTAAAATATGTCTAAATTACTATAAGAAATACTTCATTAAATTATCATTTGACTAATTTTCTAATATTTAGGAGTTTACAATTAACTAAAATATTATATATTAAATTTATCTTATTTGAATTTATGCAGAAATACCTGCTATTTAGAATTTTGAAAATATTAAGAGTTTACTTTATACAAACCTATGTTTAGGAGTTTAAAACTGTATTAATATTTTTTTTCTTCTTATTTCAACAAGGATAAAAGTCCAAAAACTTTAAAAATATTAAGAGTTTACTTATGTACTTGCACTTTAATTATATTTGAATGATCGACAAAATAAAGAAAGAGAACATACGGTTTCTTTCACTTTTTAATAACTTTCGTAGTTTCGATTTGATATGAAATTCTTTTTATATTAAGGTATTTTAAAATATACAAAGCTATTATGATAATAATAATATTCTATGTTATTATATTAACTTTCGAACATTTTAAATTAAGTATAATTATTTAAATGTTGATCAAATCATTAATAAACACATATTTTATCAATTATTCCAACAAGTTAGTTTATGAGATATTTAAATTTTTAATCAAGGATACATTTAGATGAATGTAAGTGGATATAGTTATGACAAGTATTTTATTGATACTTATGTTTCTTGTGCGAACACACAGTTGATGTTTGGATAATATTGTGAGCACTATTGCAAAACAGGATTTCTTTCTTTGCTGAGTTAGTTTAATAACATCAAAATTCATCATTTTCAGGAATTAAATTTTTCCTTAATTTTCTAACTCAAATACATTCTTTGATAATATTTATAAAGTTTTGAAAAAGTCTACAATTACTGATAAAGGTACATGCGCAAAACGCGTACCAAAAGATTAATAATATTAGAGTGTTCAATCCATCCTATTCGACAGAGATCATACATCCTTTCGCCGCAACCAGTGTTAAATCGATGAGGAAACAGTAGGTAGTTTTGGAATACTATGAGAAGAAAAACGAAGATAGTTTTGGAAATCGTGTGGCAAACTGTTTACCTGTAAAATGGTACATTTGAATTTATACATAATTTATATACATGTGAATCGATTTGATCCAAAAATAATAAATAAATTAAATAAAATACCGGACTTAACATTGAAATCGAGATGAGATAACATATAGCTTGGTTCCAAGAGCAGAGCTTCCGGAGGCGGTAGTAATAACAATATGCGAGAAATAAAATGTAATTGAGCTTAGAATAAAGTGTATAGCATAAATTTATCAGAAAATTCGTCTCCCTACAATGGTTGTTGGGATCCTTATTTATAGTGGCACCTAAGGAAAAAGGTCATAAAATCAAGCCTCTCTTAAATGATAATTATGGGGCCATTGAAGAACGTGTAACAATAGGCCATGAATGTCAAATTCTCTATAACAAACTATATATTTAATACTGCATAATATTCTTCATTGAATGCTATCGGGTGACAGACATTCATTTGTCTTCGTGAGCAACATTCCCTTTAGGGGCTTCCCGGTGCTAGCCGAGACTGCTGCCCCCTGTCTTGACTTCCATATATCTCGCTTTCTATTTGTCTCTGGTTCCACGTGTCTTTCTATTATACAAGAATTTAATATGAACTGAGTTTACCCTATACGGATAGCCCCCCTGCTTTGCGGTGACATATCCTTGTGTCATCGGAACTT